GTATTGAAGATCAGTCTTATTGGACACAGAAAACGGATTCTTGCCTCATTGGGAGACCGGCTACACGAAGAGACCCCACAGAAACCTCCGCGGGCCGTCTCCCTCAGGGTGAGTGAGTCTCAGTGTGTGAGAGGAAGTATAAAACCCTCTGCAATATCCTGTGGATTCCATTGATTATGAAACATCAGACGAAAGAAGGAATCAAAGGTCCAGAGGTTCTCAAAGTGTTGAGGATTGAGCCTTCCCTGCAGATATTAACTCCCAACTGGTTCCCCAAATCTCGGGCACAAAATGGCCGACTCACTGCAGTTTCCTCCCTGCCGGATTGTCCTGGATTCTAATCACAAAGAAGCGGCTTTCCCTCTCCCATTGGAGCTACGCTCTAACGTCCTTATAATAGAAAGTGCTCTTTGTGATGAGGAGCCAACGAGGCCCTCTGCTCCTCAGTGTTGGCCCCTCTATCCGGCTCCTCTCTGGACCCTGAAACAGCCCAAAACCGTCCACCTATTCTCATGTTCAACTGGGAACTGCAGTTATCTACTGAGACTAAAACGTGTGGCAAAATAAGCCATTGTTGTAAAAAAAAAAAATGGTTATCTCCATCTTTGTTGAGTCAATAGAATAAAAAAACACTACAGAAATAAAACTGAAATTAAATCAGCCAATGTTCTCATTTGAGAAGCTAGAAAAAGCAAATGTTGAGCCTCTTACTTTGATTCTTGATTGATCAATCTGCTAGTTGTTTAATACCTAATCTCACTTCATAGAAACACTATAGGACAAATGAGCAGAAAGGATGGAGGCTCAGGATGAGAACTGGATTGTAACTTCAGCTTCCACTGCCCATAACTAAATAAGGAAAAGGACCAGAAAAAGGTCTGTTCTAAAGAGACTCTTCTCATATGTAATCAACTGAGAGTCAATCACCTCTCTGTAGAAGTAGCTGACTTTATAATAACCTAAAACCGTCAAATACATACAAGTTGTAATTCTTCTGGCAATTGAAGTCTCCTCTCAGGTTGGAAACCCTCTTAAATGAACCTGATTTCCACAAAGCTGAGAGCAGTGCTGAGCAGTATGGCAACACTGAGCTGAGAGGTCAAATGTGACACGGTGAATACAGTCGCCCTACTTATTGTACTTGCAGCAGTGACACACCACATTATGAAATGATGAATGAACCCTCTCTCGCCCTCTTCTCCCAGGAGCCCGGTGGGAACCACACTCCTCCCCAGCTCAGCCCGGCGGTGGGCCAGGCAGCGTACACGGCGGGGGTCCCGGGGGGGTCTCTGGACGTGCAGCACCTCATCATGCAGGCGGACGCCCGGCGCAGGCAGCGCAGCAACGACAACTACTTTGAGGATGTACCGCGATCCAAGCTGGAGCGACAGATGGCCCAAGTCAGCATGGTGAGGAAGGGAGGAGGGAGGGAGGGGTGAAGGAAGGCAGGGGGGAGAGAGATGGGGAGGAGGGGAGAGTATTATGAATGGATGCAGCCAGAGATACAGGTCATCAGAGCCAGTTCTGTGCCCGGAGCTCCAAATTATTAAAATCAGCAGGGTTGCATGTTCCCTAATTGCCATAAACAGTGAAAATGTATTTCATTTTTTTAAGCAATCCCACAAACACCATTATGTTGCCAAAATGTGTATTCATCCACAGCTAAAAATAGTCCCAAACAAGTTTACTATCACATCATGTTTGCTGAAAACTGAAAAAGAAATAATCTTATAGTCACTCAAGATTTATGATTTCCTGATATTCTTTCAAATGTTGTCCTTGTCAAATCATAGAGATAAGAAAGTAAACCAAAATGTGATTCAGTAATACTTCAAAGCAATTCAAAACTAATGAGCTTCCACTCAGCATCACATTTCTAATCAGGACGCTGGAATATATCTTAATCATAAATGAGGTGGCTCAGTAATTAAATGCAGGTCCTAATAGCTACAAGATGTGAGCCAAAGTGTTTTATCTGCCTGTTTTAAAGACACCATTAATACTCTGCAGCAGGCGGACCATCTGACACCAGCAGCTCAGAGCTCATATACATTTGAAATTATGCCTGAAACTTTGTGCTATAAAATGATAACATATGCAAAGCACAATACAGGGGATAAAGAGCAGCAGTGTTTTTGGCACACTTACAAACGCAATCAGACATAATGTACTGTTTTATGAAATAAATAATTATCTCCAGTAGATTTGATAGATTTCAGAATAACTGTCTCAATTTTGCAGCCAATTTTATTATCATTCAAATGCGAAGATATAACCTTTCTGATTTCCAATCAGCAACAATTACTGTGACACACACACACACACACACACACACACACACACACACACACACAAGGCAGCAGCTGTGTTTTGATTCAGTATGATTGGGGTCTTTTAATGTCTCCGTGTGAATTACAGAGCATATCAATGCAGGATAACACACACTAATGTTTACCCCGCTGAATCCCTCAAGTGTATCCCCCTTTCTCGTAACAACACTCTGAGGAGCCACAGATGAGTATGTTTGAATAGAAAGATAACTATTATAGAAAATAAGAAATATACCCCTGACATGTCTATGATTGCCCTCTGGATCTTCCCTCACCCTTACCATGGTCCTTAAGGTAGCACGTTAAACACTTAGAGGAACTGAAGATTTCCAGCTGAGTCTGTGAGCCTTCACTGTGTGAGAAAATCATGATGTATGTTAACACTGGTGAGGTTTAGTGCAGATTTGGTCAATGCCAGTTCCATAAGCTGTATCCTCGAGCTGTTTATCCAACATCTCCACATCTGATTACACGATGTCACCTCACCATCTTTCTGACGGGGATTACACACCCCAAGCAGATAAAGAGAGACACATAAACACGGCCTGGCACAGAATGTGTGCATACCTCCTCATCTGGATTAATTTACCAAGGAATGAAAGCCCTTAACACCTCGCTGTTATCCACTGACATTTGAGAAGTATGTAGATAGGATTAAGGTATTTCCTCTGGTTAAAAGGTGAGCTCTCAGTGGGAGAAAAAGCGCTGAGCAGGAGCAAAGAGTCTTAAACTGAGTTAAAGCATGAAAACAAGTCGAGCATAGTTCATCCAACTTGAATTTCCTCTTGGATGTTCTGTGAAGCATGTTCCTGTTTGTCAGGAAAGCTGTTACATTAAACACGTTCACCGGGCCAGAAAGTGATGTCAACAGTGGACTCAGTAATCTCCTGTGATCCTGTGTGTGTGCTGACATGCTGTTGGTTCTCGTTGCAGGCAGGCGAATGGTGCGAGCCAATCACGTTGCGCCCTCCTAACGAGGCCACCTCGTCCACCCCGGTGCAGTACTGGCAGCATCACCCCGAGAAGCTCATCTTCCAGTCCTGCGACTACGAAGCCTACGTGAGTCCTTCACTTCACTTCCATTCACTCCAGTGTGAATATTCACAGTTCCAAAGTAGAAGCACTGCAACTAACATTTATTTTCAGTTCCTATTTATTTACAGATAATTTCTGGATGAAGTGATTGATTGGTCTTTAAAAATACAGACAATCTTCCCAAATACAAGTTGATTTATTCAAATCACAAACAAGCCAAACTATAAAAGAGTATGGTTTACCACATAGACAATTTTAGGTGTTTTTGTAATATAATAAAGGTAATCATCATCCTATTAGTTGACATTTTGTTGTGATAGACCTACTGTATATCAGTTCACCTCTAAAGTTATATAATGATAATAGTGACCAATGACCCTCAACTTCACCTTTCAGTCGGCACTTGTTCTCAGCTCTTTGGTACATTTAGACCTTTGCCGGTTACATAAGGTTGTTATATATCCACGTCACCACGGATACAGCCTTGCGTCTCTGATTAGTTATATGCTCAGCACCCAGACTGAGATGATTACTTACTTGGAGCAGTGCAGAAATGCAATTTTGGAAGCCATTGGCTCTGCAAAACATCCAGAGGGAATGTAATCTCAGGCACACGATCTGATTGGTTCCGAGGCACTGTGGAGAAGACAGGGAGATGTGAGCCAGACGATTAAGTAAGAGAGAGCAGAAGAAGAAGAAAAAAGCCTGACACATTATAGTATGTCGAAAAGAAAGTCATAGTATGTAAGAAATATCAGAAAAAAAGTAATAGTATAGTATGCCGAAGAAAAGTCATAGTAAAGTATGTTGAAAATATTTTTATGCAAAAAAACGAAAAAATATACTATGTTGAAAATATCCATAAAACGACATGGTGTAGAATATTTCAAGAAAACAACATAGTATATATAGTATGTCGGAAAAAGTCAAAGTATAGTAGGCCTATGTCAAAAAATATCTGCAAAAAACGGCATAGTATAATATATGTCAGAAATATCAGAAAACATGTCATAATACAGTATGTCGAAAAAAAGTCAAAGTATAGTATGTCTAGAATATCAGAAAAAAAGGTCATAGTATGCTGAATACTCCTTTATTTGTCTCACCTCAGAAGATTGATACAACGGCGTGATCCCATTGAGTGTTTTGGACGGGTGATGGAGAAGGCATGACGGGTGGGCCACCAGGGGAAAATATCGAGGGGCTTTCATGAGGCTATTTATGACAAGATTGTTAACACTGGCTGTCCCCGGCAACAGGCCCCAGAAAGTGAGATAAATGAGCGGGAGACACAACAGAGGGGGAGGAGGAGCGCTCATTGGGAATATTGGCAAGATGGAGGGAGATAGAGTAAAAAAGAATACAATACATGTATAAGACAATAATGAGAGGGAAAGAGAGAATAGAGGAGTGTATTTATGTGTTAGTGTATGGAGAAAGAGATGGTTAAACCCAGAAGAACAGAATAAAGCATCAGCACTGTTCACATTTAATCCCAGGCTCTAAATAATCAAAACCCAGCCCCCCCTCAGATGGCCCGATAACTTTGTTATGTTCGCTTCACAACCACAACCTGAAAGCATTATCTGAAGTTATTACAAATCAGTTTCCAGTAAGACCCTGCAGACATTGAAACTGAATGACCACATCATGAGCTGCGCATGTTAGAGCAACATTGAATTAGTACACAAAAATGTGAAATGTAAATCTCAAAAGAATAGGTTGTAGCTTTGTTTATGACACATTCACAGTTGTAGAAGTAAACCAAGAAGACTAACATTGTACCAGCTGTGTATAAGATTGGTTGTTTAAGAATGTATTCCTTATCACATGACAGATCAATCCCCGGAGGTAGATATACATTTTGTTCCTTGGTTTTGGAGTGATTTCCTGCAGGGTCACAGATGGAGCTGTAAATAGTCCTCTTGTAATCCACTAAAAGCCTTGTTAGGATCACACTCTCAGGAATAAGGTCTCTTGAAAGGGCACTGAGTTGGTGGATGTCTCACACATTAAGTGCTCTAATGTCGCCATAAACATTGTCCTGTAAAACATCGGCCCCATTAGCTGCCTCTTTATTAAATCAGATACTACGTGTTCAGCATGTCTGTGTGGAGCCAGACTCGGTCCCTCAGGAGCCTCTCACTACACTGTTACATCAACTGGATGTAAACATGGAACTAATAAATGACTCAACACATAACAAATAACAGTTTATTTGGCAAAGAGAAGTACTATAAACGAAATACATTTACTGGAAAGATGTGTACATTTATTCAATTCAAACAATAAAAACAAAAGTACAGACAACCAGTTTGACCTCTTAAAAAATGCCTTTATTGTGTAACAATGTTGTTTTGAAGGTATTGAGACCCCAAGATCATAACACTCTATATTCCCTGTGTGTGTCCACAGTACCTGGGCTCCATGCTGGTGAAGGAGCTGAGAGGGACGGAGTCCACACAGGACGCTTGTGCCAAGATGAGGGTAAGACACGGCCTGACACACACTGCTCCTACTGTTGCTAGGGAAGATCCTACTACTACTGAGATCTGGAAACACAGCCACATAGCTTAAAAGGTGTCTGAATGATATGCCAAAACTAAAACACAAGTTGTACTACATTAAACCTAAATGCATGTGGCCGTATTATGTATATATAAACAAACACTTGTTCTTAAATCTGGGACAGGCTCAAATAAGGAGTGCCCTCACACTAGAATAAGCGTACCTATCATGAAAGTGGATTAGGTGTATTGAGGGATTTATTTGTAATATCCTTGCCTACTTGCCCGTCACCTTATCTCCTTCTCATTCTGCTGCCCCTCTTCATCCTCTCTTGAACGTCTGTCTCCTCCTCATCACATCTTTTCTTCCTGCTTCCTCACTCTTCCCGTATCTAACTGTAACACCGTCTCCCGGCTCTCTCTCGCTGCTGCAGTGTGAAGAATGATTTTAATATTCATGAGCAAAGCTTTCTGTTCCTCTCCCCTCCTCCCTCCTGTCTCTATATTTATGTTGCCACATTGGAGGGAATCTTCTTTTCTTCTACTCCTCTCCATCCCCAGTGACACACATCTGCTGAAACCCAGGCAGTAATTAAGAGCAGTTATCAGTTATCGCTCCGTTATTTTCCTCCGTGCAAAAACCTCTTCTTTACTTGCACGCTGGATCCCAGCGTTCCTCCTTTCTTCTGTACCTGCGTCTTTTAGCTGTGAAGGTAGATGTGGATGTTGAAAACTCTCGCTGGGTTTCTGCCAGCGCTCAGCCTTGATCCTGACGAGGCCGAGCCAAGGAAGGAAGGAAGGAAGGAGCGTAACAATGGAAAGAAGCAGATAAAGAAAGGAGAGCAGTTGGTAGATTTGACAAAGAGGAGAAATCAGGGACAGAGTGTGACAGTAACATGGATACTGAGGAGATAACAAGATAAAGTGATTCTGAAGAGTCTCATCGCACGTCGATTTCTTTGAATGTATGAAATCTGTTGGCAGGTAGAATGACAGCAAATCACACCATTCTCCGCAGCACCTCACTGCATCATGAACTTAAATATGGCTAATGAGACACGTTGAAGAGCCAATATGTAATTAAAAAGGACGAGGAGGGATATACAGTAGGAGTCCAATGTGTCTGAAAAGCTAATAGACTTATTGCATTTGCAGCGCTAATGTCGATGTTGTTTAGAAATGTAATTTGGAGTGTCTGACAACCTCTGGAGATTATTTGAATGGACTCTGAAAATAAAGGAGACACCATCAATGCACTGTTTGATTAGCTCATCTATTGAAAACATGGATCACATTGAATCTCAAAGGTTATTAAATTAAAAGGAGATCAAACTCAACTCATTAATTTGGAACTAATTACACATTTCCACTATGGTTAAAGGTCCCATGTCATGCTTTTCCGGTTATTACCCGTCCCCTTGTGTGTTATGTAGCTTTTTCTGCATGTAAACGGTCTGCAGAGTCAAAACCCTCAACGTACACCCTGTAGCGAGTAAAACTCTTAACACAGAAAATACCTGTCTATGCTGCCCCAGAACGCCTCGTTGGAGATTTCTCTTTTTCATTTTTTTCTTCCTGGGTCGTGGTGACGTAATGGCTACGCGGATTGGTCCATTGATTTGATTTGGACCAATCCGCTGACTTCCTCACACACACACACACTGATCTTTTCTCAGCCGGAACTCAGCCTGAGTGTGTGTGTGCTCAGGCTGAGCTTCGCCGTGCCCCGCAAACCCCACGCAGCAACCAGGAAACGACCGCAGTAATCCAGCTCACACTGTCCGCAGCAGCGAGCCCCGCAACACGGCACCCAGACCCCGCGCAGCATTCTCATCTGTTTGTCCTTACTGGTGTCATTTCCTGGTTGCTAACAAACGCCATTGTAACACATAATCACTGATGTTCCGCTGTAACGGTGGTGGACTCATCAGAACAGAGTGGGCGAGCTGACCAATCAGAGCACAGTGGGCTCACGGGGGGGGGGCAGGAGCTCCAACAAGCCGTGTCGGATAGAGAGTGAATACACATAGAGAGATGCTGTATGAGAAACCAATGTGAGTTTGGAACATTGAAAAATGTAAATCTATTCTAGTAGACCTCAACAATGGAATTATGATCAGTAGGAATGGCCATGACATGGGACCTTTAAAAGTGTAATACTCCAACTGATGCCTGTGACTATTGGAAGCTTCAAATGTCATCTCTGATGTGTTTTGTCTTCTTTGCTTCTTATGAACTCGAAGAAGTCCACAGAGCAGATGAAGAAGGTGCCGACCATCGTCCTCTCCGTGTCCTACAAAGGAGTGAAGTTCATCGACGCCACAAATAAGGTAACACTTCCTTCCTGCGCCGCCTCCTGTAAATAACATGTGAAAGGTCAGGCTTTCCGGCACGAGCATGACTGACATTCAGAGGTGTCGGAAAGCACTGCAGGCCTGAGGTCTGCTTCTGCTGCAGCCTGACTGACATATATGGTGTAGAACATCTATAAGGTGTAAAAGAGGGCAAAACACAACAGGCAATAATCAGTTTGGAATGGAGGAAATCAATCACAACCTACTCACTTCTTAAATCCTTTATGAAATGATTAGAAACAGGGGTGATATGGCTCTTTATAAATGATAATGGACTTTACTAGAACAACTCTCAAGGTATACACAAAGTAATTCCACTGTTCATCATCACCTCTTTTTTCTATCCATAGTTACATTTGATCGTTTGTCAGCATCAGCGCTAGTTCCTGTCAAAAGAGAAATGAAAGTTAGTAAACCGGTTTCTCGGTAAAAAACTACATTTCCATACTGTGTACTTTAACCAAAAAGTGATGTGTTCAAATGAACTCACTTTCATTAAAGTGTTTTTGTGCCCCTCATAAGCCTGTGGAAGGGAAATACCATAGGGATGATGATTTACAATCAGCCTAATTGAATAACAACACAGCAAAGTACATACAAAATAAGAGTAACAAGTCTTTCTGAACAGTCATTTGTCGTGTGATTACCAACATTGGTCAGCATGTCTAACTTTAAACACTAAAACAGTTTCTAATATGTGAGTGTGTAATGAGTGTGGGTTGTTCTCTTAGTTTTAGTATTATCAAATCAAATCAAGTTTGATTTATATAGCACATTTATAAACGATTTTTGGTGGAGCCAAAGTGCTGTACATATAATAAAATTAGCCTACAGTAGAGACACTTTACAGCAAATACAACAGCACAGATTGTTCAGAATATCAGTATGAGAAAAACGACACCCTCTGTTATGTGAAAGCAGTTTACGGCATTTAAGCCTGGCTAATAATTTCACTCTAAGGAGTCAATTATTCCTGTCATTTAGTGAAGAACAAAATACCCAGGTGGGTAATAACGGCACAGTGAGGAACAGAAGATATTATAAGGAGCTTGTATTTATTTAAGCCTCAGCTTTCCAAAATCACAGACCCAGCAGAAAATGAGTCCAATTTGCATATAATCAGTACATGTGTATGTTTTCCTCAGGCAACACTGCACTGAGCACAGTTTGGTTATAATACAAAAGAAACAGTGGCATTACCTGGAATCACCTCTCTGGGTCATTTTGTTAGAAGTAAATCTTCCATATTCATTCTCCATATCTGATCTGCTGTCCCTGTGTAAACAAACATAAACAACCAATAGGCTGGTCTCTTTAAAGATAAATATAATACAATCCAGTATGACAAAGAACTTGTGTTTTTCTTGCTTTGATGTTGTTTGATTTACAGCACTGAGAATTAACACAGCACAGAGACAGCAGTGTGACATTACCAGAGGACAAATTCAAACTCAATGTCTCCAGAAAACAGTCAAACCAACATGTAGCTACAGTTATTTTGGTTTTGGGATGTGTGAAATGAAATGATAATAAATGGGATTAGTTTTTCCATGAAGTGGCTCACAGGAGATAATAAAAACCTTTCCCGGCCCCTCCTTCCTTTCCTGCAGAACATCATCGCAGAACATGAGATCCGTAACATCTCGTGTGCGGCTCAGGATCCAGAGGACCTGTCTACATTTGCCTACATCACCAAAGACCTCAAGTCCAGTCACCACTACTGCCACGTCTTCACTGCTTTTGATGTGGTTAGTACCGACACTGTCAAGAATCACATGCACGGTGCCTGCACATCACACTGTGTTCTCACACTGTGTTTTTGTCTTCATCGTCTGGTCAGAACTTGGCGTATGAGATCATCCTGACCCTGGGCCAGGCCTTCGAGGTGGCCTACCAGCTGGCCCTGCAGGCGAGGAAGAGCGGCCACGGCTCCTCCACGCTGCCCGAGAGCTTCGATAGCAAGCCCAGTAAACCTGTCCCCAAACCTCGAATCAACATCCGCAAATCTGTAAGCATCGCCGCCGCACTGTGTGAAGGGGAATCCATCCTAAACACCTGCAACATTGTAAAGTGGTTGAGATTTGAAACTAGATGTTGTGCCTTTTTTTCAAGTTCCCTGCAGAGAACTTGGTAACATTTCTATGAACTGGATCCTCTATATCTGAAAGCTGTTATATAATTAACTTTAAGATCTACTTAATTGTTTATGAAAGAAGAATTGTGTTATAGGATGGATTTTCACTTCTAATAACACCTCTTAACCCTGCCTTCAATCAAATCTAACCATCATCCCATCAACTCTGTCCCTTTACACTGCAATCTGTCCATAACTCTCACCCTGTACTCTGATTGGTTCATGTCTCTCATCCCCGCTCACCGCCGTGTGTTTGGTTGGATTATCCTGGACTGCTTGTGTTTTGTTTGTGAGTGTCGGCCCAGCAGACACAGAGGTTTAGGTGGATATTTGATCTGTTAAGCGTCCGCTCGGTCTCCTCGTCCCTGCAGTCTCTTCCACACGGCGCTGATTGATGAGGCCAGTTTTCATAGAGCTCTGGGGAGGCTTGCTTGGCTCGCCTCGCTCTGTGTGTGTGTGTGTGTGTGTGTGTGTGTGTGTGTGTGTGTGTGTGTGTGTGTGTGTGTGTGTGTGTGTGTGTGTGTGTGTGTGTGTGTGTGTGTGTGTGTGTGTGTGTGTGTGTGTGTGTGTGTGTGTGTGTGTGTGTGTGTGTGTGTGTGTGTGTGTGTGTGTGTGTGTGTGTGTGTGTGTGTGTGTGTGTGATGTGGAAGACTCCCACATACTGCAGCCTTGCATGGAGGATTAAATATTGACATTTCAGTCCATCAGAATCTCCTAATAAAAGCTGGGGTCTCTGATAGTGTGTTTTATGTTATCCCATTGGCAGTCCTGCAAAGCTGCGATACACATTTCCCTGTTCAGTTTGATGAACAAAAAAAAAAAAAGCTGAGGTCATTCATCTATATTTTGGTATTAACTGCCTTGTTTTTAGAAAGAAACTGTTTGGTATTTCTTTATTTTAAAAACAAAAAGAGGACCCATGTACAAGAACCTAGCTATCTCACGTTGTGAGTGGTACAAAAATGCACAGGGTTCCTTTAACGGTTATTTAATCTCCGCCCTAGCTTTGTGATACTTGTGTTCCTCATCATCATTCCTCTGTGTGTGCAAACGTGTTTGGCCTTTCTTCATGCCTCCACCAACCGCAGCGTCACAAAGTCTATCCGAAAACCTGTCAACCTCCCATTAACCCCAACACAGCATTAAAATAGCCCGCTAACACACTTCCACAGCAGCACATGTGTGTCTAAAGGGCCCGTATAGAGTTACGGTGACTGCTATATCAGTGTGCTGCAGACCCAATGTAAGCCATTTACATACTGTGAGTCATGGAAGAGATGGTGATGGAGCTTCGGAGGAATGGTCTCCCTTTCTAAAGTTAGAGTGAGATGTGAGACGCTGAGGAAAGACAGGAGGAGGAGAAAGATTAAAAAAAGACCTGTGTGTTTGCGGTCCTCCTGTGATTTGTTGCAAAGCTTGTGTGTGGTCTTGTGCTTACAGAGATGATGAACGATGGCATGTATGCACACAACCTGCTGAGTCGGCAACCGTTACATTAACCATTAATTGCATTTTCTTTCTCTGTATGTGGTGTGTAGTTAATGGCTTGTGGTGTGCAGCAGAGATGCTGCAGGATTCACTTAATATTCCTGCCACCTGCGAGCTATAATCTCCATCCTGCCCCCCCCCCCCCACTGTGCTATAACATACCGCGGCTATGTTTTTCTGCCCACAAGTATCCGTTTCTCCACACCCTCCCTTTTCATTTGTCGTTGTTAGTTGTCTGAGCGTATCCGCTTGTAGATCTCCCACAACATCCACTTAACTTGCCCTCATGAGTGTGACCGCGTCTGATGTGACTATTGTCTGTGATCAGCATTGGCATGTTACTGTAATCGGAGTGTAGCTTCAAAACAAGACTGAAATACACGACCCTAACCCTGTATGAGTGAGATTTGCAATATTAAGTATCCCAGTGAAGTGAAAATAGCTTGTTTCCATGCAGACAGTTCATTTTGTTAGTGGTCTTGGAATCATACATTTACACTTCCTGAAAATGAAATTCAACCACAAGCTATCTCGCCTCATCTGCAGAATTGTTCATGACTTTGGAGAAAAACATTTTGAATATGCGCCTGGCTTGTGTATATGTTTTTACCGAGTGATGTTTTATTCGTCTTGCTGGGAGTGTTTTTGTCCGGCAGGAGTTGCTTTTTTAAATGTGGCCTAGTCTGCTCCTGCTTTAGTTTTACTGTATTGCAGTAATGCTGCTGTCCCACGCTGTTGCCAGGACGATTACTTTGCTGCCATGTTGTTGCCATGGTTTTGGAGTGTTGTTGCCATGCAGATGCTCTGTGCCTTTGCCGTGCTGCTTTGTTGTTTTTCGGTGTTGGTGTTGCTGAGCAGGCCCACTTTGACTTGTATATGACCTCTGCCCCTGTAGGTCATCATGTCCCCCGTCAGCCGCTGGTCACTGGGTCACATTTACACCCCTCACCGGCCTCCTCTCCACCCTCCTCTTCCTCCCCCTCGACTCTTCCATCTTCCTCACAAAGCTCAGTCACAGGTCCTCCACGCTTTTCCTTCTCCTATTCTTTATTCCCACATGATTTCTTTTTTAAGTCAAGGAGAAAGCGCCTTCTGTAAGTGCTTCCATTCTCTTCTATCGCTTTGAGTCGACTCACTCTGCATCCTTGTGTGGTCTGTTTGCAGTGAGTGTTGTCCGTCGCTCGCATTATTTATTTACTATCTCCCCCTCTTTATCAGCTAATACAGAGCAGAACTGGAATAGTGCCTCAGTCAGTTTTTATATTCCCCAAGCACCAATTCAACCCCTTCACGGGAAAACACTGCCTTCCTAAAGATGGTCAATGTTTAAATACGTGTTCAAACCTCCATTAAATGGGCTGTTTTAATATGAGTGTTTTTCCTACTGATGGATGTTGCTTGCTCATCCACATCTCCTACAGGGCAGTTTCCTTTTTAAAGGGTCATCCGAAGAAGACTGCAGTACCAGAGCGTACAGTGTGTTAAGTGGAGCTAAGTGCAGTAGACTCCAATTAGAATATGGCTTGTTTTTGCATCAGCTTGATAATTGAAGTTGATGTCCTTTGAAGGTTTGCAGAGTCAAATCCCAAAGTGTGATTTCCCTGCAGCATTCCTACCAGTACTTACATTCCAACCCTCAGCACAAAACCCAAGGCGGTTGATGAATTTGAGACTAATCCTGGCGATGCTATGAACGATTCTACACTAAGCGTGGTGGTGTTGAGTTGCAGTGAGATCAAAAGTGTGTTTGTTCCATAATCCTGTAACCCCAATAACAAGGTGATATGGTCTTTCTGTGGTTGTCCGAGTCTCTGTGAGTGAGGGAGAGGATGGCAACTCCATCAATACTATAGTTAGTGTCCGTTTTGTATCCGTAGCAGACGTGTTGAGACACATGGCTCTGTTAGTGCTATGCAGAACTCTGAGATCTTTAATGCTCATTTATAACATATCAACGTTATATACATTAACTATATTGCTTAAAGACACATTTAGTCTTCCTCTATCAAAAGTGCAGCTCTCACATACGAGTATGCCCTCTCCCCAAATCAGCTGAAGACGTACAAAACCTAGCTTGCACGCTTGATTGGTTGCTGAGGGTTATTTTTGAAAGCAATGTACATTGTTTGGTTGGTTTCCTAGCGCTGAAGCCACGATAGCTTCACTGTGGCAGCGGCAGGCAACTGCTAGGATGTACGTAAAGCACATGGTAATTCAATTATTATTATTATTAAGAATTTCTCATTTGAGACTGAGCTTTCTGTCTGATCTTTGTTCTGCTTTCTCATTTGTAATCTGTATCTCAGCTCCCTCTCACATTTCAGTTTTTTTCCTCCATTACATAACTTTGTAAGCAGCACATCCTCCATTTCATCCCTTCTACCGTTCCCAATCTGAATTCGGTGACTATATTAGCATTAAATTGTCTCATTATATGGTCTCTTCAGTGTGCAGAATCTCAAACAGTAACAGCTGTTTGCATTGAAAATGTGTCATGATAAATTGTCCGTATCCCAACAGTACGGTGGAGTATTTAGAATATGCAGGTTGTTGCAAATACTATGGCACTTTTTCCAACTTCTCTCCTTTTCCTTCTCTGTGTGCATCAGATGGAGCAGCCGTCCATGGACCAGAAGGGCCACGCCAACGTGCCGTGGATTGTGGAGCCGGGTCAGGAGGCCAAGAGAGGAGTCAACACCAAGTACGAGACCACTATTTTCTAACATACACCCGCCTTGTCCACTCCTGTGTGTGTGTGCCTTTCAGAGGTTGCCCTGAACTGGGGGCCCGCCCCGGAGTTGGGCACGAGCGACGCTGCGTCACCTCACCGGCTGAAAACTAAAAAACGAAACATCCTGCCCCGCCCCCGTTAGCCAAGCCTGTCCAGTGTCTACTGCATGATGACGTTTGGCGCTGCGCTGTCTCTTCTTCTCTCTTTTGTTTCTGCTCTCCCCCTCTGTGGCCCCGGCCTCTTCCTCCTGCCTGCAGGGCTGGCGCATGACCTTTGAACCCAGGGCTGTGGTGCACTTCTCTGTCTCCACCTGTAGGTGAATGGTCAGCTCAGTTTTTCCACTTCTTGTTTGTGAATCAGTCAGCGTCCAACCAGTGGGTTGTTCTGCTTTCAGCTTCTTGTTTTTCTTACTTCCTGTTGATGGGTGCAAACCGTTTGGCTTCGTCTCTCTCCACTTTTTTCTCTTTTGACTGCCTCCATCCCTCGCTTTTCTCTGCATTTCAGCCCCTTTGTCCAACTGCCCCTGACAACTTGAATGAGATTTGTTACCAGAATACTGCTAAGAGCTGTGACAGTGTTGTAGCTGACATGAGGAGGGTTGACACTTTTAAACATTTTTTAATCAAAGAGGAGAGGTGATGTAGCACAGTCTAACTTTGACTCAAACTGGTTCATCCAGCAGGCTACTAGAATGTATTACAACTTTTTGATTCTTTATATCAGATTATTTTTGAAAATACTAACAACCAACTTTAGACTTCTCTTTTTGCTTTTATAGCACATGTGTGTTTGTTCAGAATCATTTTAACCAGATGGATTTTTCCCTGGCCATAATCCATATTTTATGTGGGGGGAGGGGATCTTGTATGTAAAAGGTTTAGCATGAGGCTTGTGAGACGCATGGTGGCCATTTTGGATTTGCTGAGCAGGGGGGCCGGTGGAGAGGCGGGGTGTGAGAGCTTTCTCGATAAGTGATGTCATCTCATTTGCAGGGCAATGCCGGACGCTCATGTCCATTACTGTGGAATGCAAAGAATGTAGCCAGCCCTAAACACGGACCTTGTCACACATACAATGCAAAATGGACTACAAAGGACTACAAACATGGATGCTACTCCACAGTGTTTAAGGTTGACTACAACATTCCTCCACATGATGCTTGACACAGTAAACATAAGACAGACATTTACACACTAACAGACGACGGTCTGCTCTGAATGTACACTTATTTGAAAGCCGCCTCAACTTTCTTCAGCGGGATGTTTAATGCGCTCGCCTTGGACGCGTGACCTGTGAACTTTTCGGCGGTCACAGCGTCTCCATAGAAACTAAGTATGTTTACAGGGCAACTGTTGCTAACAGACAATGGACTCGCTAAAGGCACCACTGGGCATGTGTCAGTGTAAGAATGGGCATGGGTTTGAGGACGTCTGGCTGGCTCTTTTGGTCTTTTTATTTTCTTTAAAGTCAGAAAATAATACAGAGATATATGCACAATTGTGTAAATGTGATTGGACTAGCTGCAACACGCTAGAGATGCAACAGGTTTGTCCTATAACGGATATTTAACCTATGTGAACAAAACAGCATCTAGCGTTTAAAAAAAAAAAAAGTATTCTATTTGTATTGCCCGACATTTTAATGTTTAATATGAGAGTATTATATTACCATGATGATTATGATTATTCTTGTGCAATTCTTGTCTACTGTTGTCTTAATGTTACATTATTTTTCTATGAGATGAAACTTTGGGCTTGAGAATGATGGCCATCCTTTAAAAATCTGAAACTATATGATCATATTGTACACAGAGTGAATGTTGCAGGTGGCTAGCTAACTCTTGTCAGGTCAACCCTCATTTCTCATGGGGCTCTACTTATCTAGCAGATGTACTATTTTAAACGCAGTATTACTGTTTTATTTGGATGAGACATTATCCAATTATAAGATGTACATAGATATTTTGCCAACTCATTGTTCATACATGTAATGTAAAAGAGAAATGAATAAAGAATGGGGAGTACATGGCACTGGAAACAAGGTACCACAATAAAGGTTGGGAACTAGAATATAAGAAGAGGAGGTCAAGTGTATTTTGAGCGAAAATGGGTTATTTGGTTACATCACTGCTGACCAACTTATGTACATATGCTTGGGCTTCCAGCACACTGATTTTTGTAATTTTGGCCATTATTTATATCCTTGTAAAGCACATGGAATAAAATATGACTTGTAACAACCATAAGTCATCCTTGCATAAGGTGTCATAAGTTATTGCTTTCACTACATGAAGGGGTATTCTACAGTTTCACTTCCATTGTTAAAGTATTTGAGCACATTTAATAACTACAACTACTAAAAGATAACTACAGTGTACTACTTCTTGTCCTGTTTTTGTTCTTTTGGCCATTATAAAAAAGGTAAATGCAGAAAATCTGGGAACAACATTTAGAGATGCATCAATACTGACAAATATATGTATCCCCAGATTCTTGGCAATACACAGCCCTAATTCATTTAAATAGTTAAACATTGGTATATGTAGGGTAAAGTTGGATCAGTGCATACTTCTTAATTAGCATTTGAAATCTAGGAACTAATCCTCTATTGAACACACAATCTGGGTTCAACTACAGAAGATCAAGGTTGGACCAGGATGTTTACAACATGATTGATTAAAGTGTTTCTGTTCACTTTCAACCTGAGTTTGTTTTGAACCTGCCTGATTGCTTGTCTTGTCTGCTTATCTCATCAAATGTATTAAATGGCTGATATTATGTAACTAACTTAATCGAAGCCAGTTCAAATCAAACTAACTTACAGAGAATAGTGATGTGAGTGTCATTTACCTCATGCTGAATGTAGTAGCAGGCTGTGATGGATGACACTTCCCCCCCCCGTAATTAGTGACGTATAAAGAGTGTTAATTGTTGTGAAACACCTAGGGTATAAATTGCATTGTAAGTGGCACTCTGTTTAGATAATGTTGCTCGAGTTTAATTGTACTCTTCGTAATGTTGCTTGATCCAAAATGCGAACAAGTGATTTAGTGTTGAATATTCATACAACTCTGTGATACTTCAGCCACAAAAGGAATTACAATTGAAACTAAATATCCCTCCCTGTAATCATTTCCAAAAAATCAATAATCCTCCAAAGACCTTAGAACTGATTATTGGTGACGACCAGATCATTAGTAAAGCTTTGTTGATGCTCACAGCTATTGTTGTGTGACTAAATACAGCAACACATCACATATAGACAGCTCAGAGATACATCGACTCTGAGAGAGGTCTTAGCCCACTTAATCAACCGATTGACATGAATACATGCAGTAAAGATGGAGCAGTTGCTATGTTACCATGGTGACCTAAATCCATCAAAGCAGCCCTCATAATCATCTATGTAATGTTAAAATAACAAAATACACATTTACACTGCAACAATAGATAGGCAGCAAACCAATGCCAGCAGCCATCTGATGATTGAAAGACTTATGCTAATGTATTAACACATTTAATGCAAAGGTACATGTTATTTGACTGGACTTGGGGGGGGAATACATGATGACAATGTGGGTAAGACCCCAGGCCACATTGAGCTTTTAATTTCAGACAAATTCAGCAAAAATATAATATTATTCTAACTAAAAATGCCACCCTTGACACTCTTAGCATGTTAGCTATCTCTTTCCCATAAAGCTCAGTAATGAGAGATTTCTCTGAACACAAAGAGTCTGGCGGGGTTTGGATCTGGAGCCCCTCTGGCTGGCCCGCCACACGGCCCGCCTGGATTTCACTGACAGAACTCGCAGCCAGAAAATAAACACAGTTCACTGTCACTACTCTGAAAGGGTCTACAGGGGCAACGGTAAGTGTCTCATGGTGGAGATGTTTGTATGATGTAGCTGCAACAAGTGATACCAAATCATTTCATAACATACAGTTCTCTCTTTAAATTCAAAATATATTATTGCAACCTAAATTGTATTAGTTATATTTGATGTGCACTGAGAAAATTAAAAGGCAGTTTTGACATTCAATTAATGATTTAAGTCGTTAACCACAAATGCCAAACATTTGCTGGCTAAAGATTCTTAATTGTGACTATTTGTAGCTTTTCTGTTTTATATATTTGTAAACTGAATATATTTAAGGTTTGGAATGTTTGTCAGACAAATAAGCACATTTTAAAGACGTCACTGAGCTCTGGTAACTCGTCGTGATAATGAATAATTGATAATCACTTTCTGCCCGACAGTCAGGTAGTGATTTCAGGTTTATTGTTACCCATAATCTTTGAAAGTTAAAATGAGAAACATCAGTGGCAGCAGATCATAAGAACAGCCTAACTATGTCAAATACATACTTATCAGAAAGTCATATCACAGCCACGGGCTCTGAACCTGAATTAGCCTGCCACGTACTAGCCTATAGTATTTCTGGGTGTAAAATCAGAATCTTTGATTTGAGGTCATTCTTAAATTGCAAGCTAAACCTAAATATCTGGTAAGAAAAGGAATGAAATATGATAAGTCGATAACTGCTAAAGGTTCATGCTGTCTCACAAATACAGCAGCAAGTACATTCAAGTATTTTCCACAGAAATGAACTGCAGAGTTTACTGTACAACAACACTGGAGTCAGTGTCAGATTATCACCAAAGGTCATTTGATTACAAACCAACCAATCACTGTCTAAAACAAATGTGTGAAGGTAAGGATGAGAGACTGGCTGAGGGTCTATTCAAATACAGTGGGCTGACATTTCCACTGAAAGGCTGAACAAGCATTTGTCCTGAGCGATAAACCTCTGGATGAAAAGGCTCACAATCTACAGTTACAATCTGCAGCAACAGGAGCCGGCTGTGTTCTGAGATTAGAGCAGAAAACACTGACGCTGCGGCACATCGGCCGTCTGAAGATTTACTGCCAATCGGCTATTTGGTGCATCCTGGTCAAAACTGACAAAACATGTTATTGTTTGTAAAGAGCAGACCACTGCGGGACGTGAGTGGGAGGTATTATAAGACATTATTTCTGGAAGATTAGACTAGGAGTGGAGAGAGATGCTGTATTTAGGCTCCACAAAGCTCCAGCAGCTCAATGTGATTCCTACTGCTGGCAGAGATGGAGGCGAAGGACTTAACCGAGGACAAGACAATGAGGAAAGAATAGTGAAGGAGGAGGAACACGTGGAGAAGAACGCTGACAGAAAATGACGGTTATCAAAAAATCCCTTTGCTCTTCATTATCAGACAGTCATGTGTAAAACATGAAGAGTACATGCTTTGTTTTTCGGTCTCCGTGAGACTGTGGGAGTGGGCCAAGGTTCCAGATGGTGTGTGCTGCCCACAGCTAACAGATTAATGAGACGACTATGTAAAATTGCTCATGTAACGAGCACAATATTATCTGGCATTCGTTCAATATGGCCGGCTTCAACCAGAGAACTTATGACCCCATGGGGGGGGGGGGAATGCAGGTTTGTGATCACATTAAGATTCAAATCCTCAGTTGACCTTTTATAGACACTCAAATCCACATTAATATGTCTATAACACTCAAACAAGGCAAAGGAAGAGAGTGAAAAAGATCTGTGTGAAAGTATTTGACACACCAGTTCAAGTCCCGGAAAGACCAAGTGCTACCGAGGTGTCCCTGAGCAAGGCACCGTTCCCTACACTGCTCCCCGGGCGCCGTACATAATGGCAGCCCACTGCTCCTAACACTAGGATGGGTCAAATGCAGAGAAACCGTTTCGTTACACGGTACCTGTACTGCGTAATGACAATAAGTTGAATCTATCTATCTATAAAGACAGTTTGCTGCATTTGCTGACTGGCAGAACACAGAACACATGTTCTGCACCTGGCAGATGTGGTGCAACAGCTCCCACATTATCATAACATACTGAAACTCTCCAATATGGAACCGACTTGCCAGAAAGTGGGCGATAGAGGAATAAACTGCCTCTGCGAAATACTTGAACAAAAGGTGAGCACACACAGATACACACCGTGCTGCGCTCTGCTTGGCCGATAAAGCTGGACACGGGGAGGAGAGCTGGCCAAACTCTATCTCTTGAATACACCAGGGGGAGAGCGCACACACTCATTTCACAGGAGACTCTGGCAGACTTGATCTCTGTAGAGTACAAATAAACAACTCTGCACTATCCTCCAAAAGTAACATTCACAAACACCCCAAAAGTGTTTCTGCCTGTTTTCCTAGAGAGGCTGGGTGAGTCTGGAAAACATGATGCTTTGCATTAGTGCTGCACGATTTGGGAACAATAACTAATAAAGATGATTTTGACTGATGTTGCCATTGTGATATCACAGTATTGATCATTGCTGTGTACTGTACTGAAAGCTAAACTCATCAAAGATCCAAACTATTTTTCTGAGCAGCTATGTATTAGTGGATGGACGCTGAACTTACAGACAGCTTGGTTGAGTTGGCTAGACACACATCATTAGATTAGTCTGGTATTAAGTCTCGTAGATAGCATTTTAAGATGACGTCATCAAATTCAACAGTCCAAAACTAAAGTATTTTCATATACTTCAAAACATGTAAAGTGTGTATAATATTCATATTTGAAACGTTGCAACCTGGGAATGGCAATGAATCAAAAAAGCAGCCGATACACATTCTGCTGGTCAACTAATGAATGTATTTGTTTAGATGACATCATTATGGGAATAAAGCGTTTAGTTGTGTTTCTTACTCAATAGTATTAACATATATCCAATAATGTTAAAAATAAATAAAATAAGGGTAGACACTATAAAGGCCCTTAAGTTAATGCTCAACCTGGGAGGAAATAAAAATAAAATGTTTGTAAAAGTCAGCGCTCAGAGCGTCTTCAGAGAAAATCTTTTCACAGGTTTATTAATCGTCGGTACATTTTCCAACTACAGCCGAGCCCCATGACTCGAGACTTTCCATAACAACAACCAGCACTCAGGGATGATTGGAAACAACCGCAGATCGCATCAAGTTTGTATTCACTGAATTTCCACATTTGCATAGGGAACCAGCATCTAACGGAATTTAAATCTGTTTGCTTGAGTCGCCTGAAAGTGCCAAATGGGCAGAGGATCAGCATAGGTTAAGTGCTACAGCAAAACGAGATTTGACAGCGCAGCAGAAAGGCTCAGAGGAAGCCTTTTACATAACGAAAATGTGTCACATTTTGTGCAGCTGAATGCAGAGAGAGAGCAGAAAGGTAGGTGACGTTAAACTGTGTCAGA